GGTGCATTTGTTAAATCTTTGAACCTACGCGTTGTTGTCAGCAAAAGTCCATAGCTTACCTTAGGATTCACTCTTGGTGTTGTGCATTCTATAGGTTTTGACAAATGTATAATGAATGTATCCATCGTTATAGTTTCATGCAGGATAGTTTCACTGCCCTAACCCTCTGTGCTCTGCCTCTTCATCTGTGCTTTCCCCTTAACCCTTGGCAACCACTGAATTTATTCTCTCCATAGTTTTGTCATTTCCAGAATGTCAGTTGTTTTGCAGCCCTTTCAGGTTGGCTTCTTTCACCTAGTGATAGGCATTTAAAGTTCTTCCATGCTTTTTCATGACTTGATAGTTCATTTCTTTTTAGCACTGAATAATATTCCATCGTCTGATGTTCCACAGTTTATCAGATTGACTGACTGAAGGGCGTTTTGGTGGTTTCCAGGTTTTGGCAATTATGAGTAAAGCTGCTGTAAACATCTGTGCAGGTTTTTGTATGAACATAAGCTTTCAACTCCTTTGGGTAAATACTGAAGATCACAGTTGCTGAATTGTGTGATTAGAATGTTTAATTTGCTAAGAAACTGCCAAGCAAGAGTAGCTGTAATATTTTGCATTTCCACCAGCAGTGAATGAGAGTTCCTGTTCCTTCACAAACTCACCAGTTTTTGGTGTCTACATTTTTTTTTTTTTGCAGCGTGGGTAATTAGGTTTATTTATTTATTTGGTTTTTCAGTGGAGGTACTGGGGATTGAACCCATGACCTCATGCATGCTAAGCATGTGCTCTACCGCTTGAGCTATACCCTTCCCCTACATACGGTTTTAAACTAGTAGTTTGTCCTGGATGTCTTTCCAAATTAGCACATAGAAAACATCTGCAATTTCTTTTTTTTAACATTTATATAGTAGCATAGATGTGCTGTAGTTTGATCAGTCCTTTATTGACTGCCATTTTAGTTGTTTCTAATATTTTCCTTTTACAAACAATGCTTGCCGTGACCTTGTCACTTTTCTATGTTGTGGTTTATCTATAGGGTAATTTCCTTTAAGTGAAATTGTTGGGTCAGAAGGTCTCAGCACATTTATATTGCCAAATTACCTTCCCCAGGAGTTGTATCAATTTGCATTCTTACCAGAATGGATCTGTTTCCTTACAGCCTCACCAATAGAGTTGTCAAACATGGATTTTTGTAAATGTAGATAAGAAATATGTTGGTGGAAGTTGAGTATCTTTTCATATGTCTAAGGTCATTTGCATCTCTTTCTGTAATTTGTATGTTCCTGTCTTTGGTAATTTTCTTAGATTTTTGGAACTGTTAAAACACTAAGAATGTTAACTCTTTGTGATGTGAATTGCAAATAGTTTTTCTCGGTTTATCATTTGACTTCATAGAGCTACAAGTTTGAACTCGATTCTGATTTTATAGTCCATTCCCTTCATCACTGTACTTGTACTGCCTCAAATAATACACATTCTACATTCCTGAAAAGACGTACTTGTAACTGTTACTTAATGCATCTAGCATTTTAAAACTGTCTTCTGATAACAATTTCTTTGCTCAATAGACACGGCATCAGAGGGGAGATACACATCCTCTTACTTTAGAAGAAATTTTGGATGAAACGCAACATTTAGATATTGGACTCAAGCAGAAACAATGGCTAATGACTGAGGTAAGCGTAGACTTAAAATATTGTGGAAAAAAATTGCTATAACTAGGGTTTTCATATACTGAAATCTGATCATTATTTTTGCTTTTTCTTAAAAGAATTTGTATAGGGCTTTTGTTCTTTAAACACTCACATTTTGAGATTGACTTGTTTTTCATTTAATCTTATGTATCTATTTAAAAGTACCAAAGACTTTAGAATAAAAGTTGTAAAGTTACATGTCAGTTATTGTACCAATTTTTACTTAAGTTTTTACAGAATAATTGATGCTTATTTTGAATTGCTAATTTTATAATGTATCTGTTGGCAAATTGTATTTTGGTTTTAAGACATTAAAAGCATGAGGAATATTAGGGAAAGCAAGGGATTTCTTGTACTGCTACTACTATTATGATTTCATAGTGATGTTACTGCCTCTAGCAGGTTACTTGGAAAAATAATCTCGAACATTGTGTACATACACACAACATTGGAAGAAAAGGAATCGCAAAACCATCAGTGACCGTGCTAATTTGGAAATGAATAGCATTTAAAAAAATTGAGATATTTATCTTTTTCTGTTTCAGTATGAAATGACCAGTTAACAGGACAGACTTTCTAGGACCAGTGTTGATTCTAAAGACCAAATGTAAACTTCCTAAAATAGGATTCAGTTAGTTTATTTTACCAAGCAAAATTTTGTTCTTGGTTTTCTTAATGTAAAATGAACCAGTTAGTGGCTTATATTAGTGATATGCAAATAGTGGCAATCCACATTTAAATTTTGATGCTTTACCTAATCTTGGGATTTCACAGACTACCCACATTAGGTAAAGGCTATTTTTATTACCATTCTATTCTCCCTCCTTTCTTCTTTCTATATCTCTTCTCTTTATCCTTTCAGGGTCAGGCTGTCAGCTGCAGAAGAAAATAAATAGGGTTGCTCTTTCTTGAAGAGCTTTCCTTCTAATGTTAGCTGTACGAAAAGACTGACTAGGAACATCATTATTCTCAGTAACTCCTATGTTCCTACTGAGTTTCAAACTCAAGGTGACATTATAGGTAAATTTCTTAAATGCACTACTAGTCTGGTCCTTTTCAGTTCTTTCCACAGCTGCTAGTGCTGTTCGATACTGTAGACTGACTGTTGGTATGTTCATCCCATGGTAATGTTTCTCACATTGTAATTTCAGCATGCAAACATCTGTACTTTGAGGGTGGCACAGGTGGTACTCGTCTTGCTTTGTCTGTTAATGTTAATAGATGTATTAGATTCTTACCTGTCTTCTCAAAGAATATGGGTGCTTTCTTTAAAGAAGTAATAAAATGATTTTCTCATCCAAGGAATTGAGTTTATATAAATAATACACATTTTCTTTTATAAAAAGTGAGCACCATGCTGATTTCTTCCTGTTGCTTTGGACCCTGGATAATCTGGTATTTTAGATCTGCTAGTTGATATTCACAGTATACTTTTAATGTGCAACTGTATTGGGTATTGTTATTTATTGAATACTTAGTAGAATTTAAGAACGTATATATGAGATTTCCTTTTGGTAATACATCTAAGTTGTGTCACTGTTACAGGCGTTAGTCAATAATCCAAAAATCGAAGTAATAGATGGGAAGTATGCCTTCAAGCCCAAGTACAACGTGAAAGATAAGAAGGCCCTACTTAGACTCTTAGATCAGCATGACCAGCGAGGCTTAGGAGGAATTCTTTTAGAAGACATAGAAGAAGGACTGCCCAATTCCCAGAAAGCTGTGAAGGTAACCTCTTTTCTTTCTATGCCTTAATATGATTTGAATTAATAGTATCTTCTTGATCTTAAAAAATAGCAAGATTTAAATTTTTAAAAATTTTTATTTATAAAGATTCCATCATATACACTTGAGGTTGTTGTGAGCCAGTTGCAGATTTGAAATTTGTGATTTGTGCTACACAACAGGACAGAGCATAGCCATTTTTGTGTAACTTTGACAGTTCCCTTTTGAATTCTCTTGTGAAGGCTGCTAGTCTCTGTTATTCACAACTGCTAATGATTAATGCTAACCTGTAAGCAGATTAATTCTTTTTGCTATCTGTGGAGTAAAACTGCTTCTTTCTCTCCTCTACTTCTTGGTGATTCAGTTACCCATATGTTGGACCTTTTGGTATTGTCCCACAAGTCCCTGAGGCTCTGTTTTTTTTAACTAATTTTTTGTTCTGTTGATCTGTTGTCAGTTGTACTGACTTTTCTCCAATTTGTTGTTAAGCCAGATTGGTGAATTTTTTATTTTAGAGATTGTATTTTTCAGCTATAGACTTCTCTTTCTTATGGTTTCTGTTTCTTTGGTGAGATTTTCTGTTTTTTTCCCCCATTCATTACAAGCATGTTTTCTGTTACATCCTTGCATACAATTTCTTGTAGCTGCTTTAAACTCCTCCTATTTCAGTTTCAAGAGCTGGATCATCTTGGGGCTGATCTGCACTGAGTCTGTGTCTCTTGAGTATGGGTCGTATTTTCCTGTTATATATATCTATATCTATATCTATATCTATTCCTTCATATATCTACTAAATTTCTTTTAAGTCTTGAACATTGTGAATTATATAGCTCAGGATATCTCATTGTGAATTATATAGCTCAGGATATCTCATTGTGCAATTTTCCGTTGATTAGTGATGTTGAACATCTTTTCATGTACCCATTGGCCATCTGTGTGTCTTTGGAATAATGTTTATTTGGATCCTCTGCCCATTTTATAATTGGGTTGTTTGGTTTTTTGCTGTGAGTTCTTTATATATTTTAGATATTAATTTAGATATTAACCCCTTATCAGATAAATGATTTGCAAATAGGGTCTTCCATTCAGTAGTTTATCTTTTCATTTTGTTGATGATTTCCTTTGCTGTGCAGAAGCTTTTTAGTTTGATATGATCCCACTTGTTTATTTTTGCTTTTTGATGCCTTTGCTTTTGGTGTCAAATTGGAAAAATCATGGCCAATACAAATGTCAAGAAACTTACCTCTTATGTTTTTTTCCTAGGAGTCTTATGGTTTCAGGTCTTACATTCTTTAATCAACTTTGAAATAATTTTTTCATATGGTATAAGAGGGTCCAGTTTTATTCCTTTGAATGTGGCTGTCCCGTTTTCCCAGTACCATTTATTGAAAAGTATATCTTTTCCTCATTGTATATTCTTGGCATGTTTGTTGTAAATTAATTGACCATATATATGTAGGTTGAATTCTGGGCTCTCTGTTCTGTTTCATTGATCTATCTGTCTGCTTTTATGCCAGTACCATACTGTTTTGATTGCTGTACCTTTGTGGACAAAGTTCTTGTTTTGTTTTTTTAACTTTTTATTTTCATTTTTGGGAGGTAATTAGGGGATTGACTGTATTGAGGATTGAACCCAGGATCTTGTGCATGCTAACCATGTGCTCTGCCACTGAACTATACCCTCCGCTCCAATTGCTGTAGCTTTGTAATGTAGTTTGAAATCAGGGAGAGCAACGCCTCCAGCTTTGTTATTCTTTCTCAAGTTTACTTTGGCTATTTGGGGTCTTCTTTGGTTCTGTACAAATTCTAGGATTGTTCTGTTTCTGTGAAAAATACCATTAGAAATTTTGATAGGGATTGCACTGAATCTGTATGTTGCTTTGGGTAGCATGGACATTATTTTTATAATACTAATTCTTCCAATCCATGAACATGGAATATCTTTCCTCTTTTTGTGCCATCTTCAATTCCTTTTATCATTGTCTTACAGTTTTAAGTTTAGAGATCTTTTACCTCCTTGGTTAAATTTATTCTTAGGTATTTTATTCTTGATGCAGTTGTGTATGGGATTGTTTTCTTAGTTTCTCTTTCTAATAGCTTGTTACTAGTACATAGAAACACAGTGGAGTTTTGTATATTGATTTTGCGTCTTGCAACTTCCTGAATTTATTATTAGTTCTAACAGTTTTTTGGTGGAATCTTTAGGGTTTTTTTAGGTATGTCGTCTGCAAATAGTGACAGTTTTGCTTCTTCCTTTCCTATTTGGATGCCTTTTATTTCTGTTTCTTGCCCAATTGCTCTGGCTGGGACTTCAATCCTATGTTGAATAAAAGCGATGAGAATGGGAATCCTTGTCTTGTTCTTGATCTTAGAGGAAATGCTTTCAGCTTTTCACTGTTGAGTTTTTTTGTTAGCTGTGGGCTTGTCATATATGGCCTTTATTATGTTTAGGTATGTTTCCTTGGGACCCATGTTGCAGAGAGCTTTAATCATAGTGGATGTTGAATTTTGTCAAATGCTTTTTCTTCATTTGTTGAGATGATCGTATGATATTTAGTCTTCATTTTGTTAATGTGGTTTATCACATTGATTTCCTCATATGTTGAACCACCCTTACATGCCTAGAATAAATCCCACTTGATCATGATGTGTGATTCTTTTAATATATTGTTGAATTTGATTTGCTAATATATTGTTGAGGATTTTTGCATTTATGTTCATCAGGAAAGGGACATTGGCCTGCAATTTTCTTTCTTTGTAGCTTCCTTGTCTGATTTTGGTATCAGAGTAATGTTGGCTTTGTAAAAATAAGTTTGACAAACCTCCTCTTCTGTTTTTTTTGGGAAGAGTTTGAGATCAATTGGTATTCTTATTTGAATGTTTGGTAGAATTCACCAGTGAAGCTGTCAGGTTCCAGACTTTTTCGAGGGGGAACATTTTTGATGACTTACTCACTTTATTAGTAATGGATATGTTCAAAATTTCTGCTGCTTCATGTCAGTCTTTATAGTCTTTGTATGTTTCTGGAAATTTATCCTTTTCTTGTAGGTTGTCCAGGTTGTTGGCATTTGTTCATAGTAGTCTCTTATGATCTTTTGTATTTCTGTGATAATCATTTGAATGCCTTCTGTTTCATTCCAGTTCAATTTATTTGAGTCTTATGTAGTTTTTTCTTGGTTAGTCAAGCTAAATGTTTGTCAATTTTATTTATCTTTTCAAAAATCATCTCTTAGTTTCATTGATCTTTCTGGTTGTCTGTTTAGTCTCTATTTAACTTTGTATGATACTCTTTAAATCTGTTGAGACTTATTTTGTGGCCTAATGTGTGGTCTGTCCTGGAAAATGTCCCCTGTGAATTTGAGAAGAATGTGAATACTGTTGTTGAGTAGATTGTTTTGAATAGGTTTGTCAGATTTAGTTGGTTTATTGTGTTAAGACTGTTGAACTTCTTGCATGTTTATATTCATATCTTTCATCAAATTTGGGAAGTTTGAAGACATTTTTTCTTCTGTCTTGTTCTATCCTTTATTAAAAATGGGGTATTAAAGTATCCAATTGTCCAACTATTACTGTAGAATGAATTCTTCAGTTCCGTCAGGTTTTGCTTCATATATTTTGCTGGTCTGTCATTAGACGTTATGTAAATGTTCATAATTGTTGTATCTTCTTGCTGTGATGAATCTTTTATTAATATATAATACCGTTTTTGTCTTGTAACTTTGATTTGTACTCTATTTTGTCTCATATTAGTATAGCTACCCCTACTCTCTTTCATTTATTGTTTGCATGGAGTTTTGTTTGTTTTTTTTTTCCTGTCCTTTTGCTTTCAGTCTGTGTCTTTGAATTTAAAATGAGTCTGTTGTAGGTAACATGTAGTTGGATTATCTGTTTTTGTCCATTTTGCCAGTTTCTGTCTTTTGTTTGAGAGTTTATTCTATTTGCTTTTAAAAGTAATTACTGATAAGCAGGGATTTCTGTCATTTTTGCTATTTGTTTTCTATGTGTCTTATAACTTTTTGTGCTTCATTTCTTGCATTGATTTTTTTTGTGTGTTTAGTTGATTTTTTTAGTATTGAAATAAAAAAATTCCGTTTTTATTTCTCTGTGTATATTCTATAGCTATTATTTTTGTAGTTACCATCTGGATTATATTGAACATCCTAATGTTACAACATTCTAATTTGAAATTTTATCAGTTTAACTTTAATAACATGATAACTCCACTTCTTTACAGCTCCATCTTGACCCCTTTTGGTTGTTGATGTCTTAAAATTACATCTTATGCATTGTGTGCTCCAAAACATGAACTAATAATTCTTTTAAATCCAATAGTTTCTTAAATTATGTAGAAGAGAAAATTTGGAGTTAGAAAACAAGTTATGATAATACTAGTTTTTAGACTAATAATTGCTTTACATAATGTATGTTTTAAGTCATGTAGAAAATGATATGTGAGTTAGAAACTGTTACTGCAGGATTACTAACTTTCATAATTGTTCACATATTTACCTTTATTGAGATCTTTATTTCTTCATAACTACTTTGGGTTACTGTCTGGTGTTCTTTCATTTCACCCTGCAGGACTCTCTTGAGCCTTTCATACAGGGCAGATCTAGCGGTAATGAATTCCCTCAGCTTTTTTTTTTAATCTGGGAATTAATTTCTCTTAATTAATTAATTTCTGGGTCTTAATTTCTCTTCCACTTGTGAAGAATAGATTTGTTGGATATAAGATTGTTGGTAGACAGTTTTCTTTCTTTTAGCACTTTGAATATATTGGTCCACTACTTTGTGGCCTGTGGATTTTCTGATGAGGAATCTGTTTTTAATTTTATTGCGCATCCCTTCCTTGTGTATGATGGTTTGCTTTTTTCTCACTGCTTTCAAGATTTTCTCTTTGTCTTTTGAAAGTTTGTTTATAATGTTCTACTATCAGGCTTTTTGCATTCTTGTCCTTATTCATTAATAACAGTGAAATATCTTAGATCAGTTTCCTTGTCATTGTTATGTGTGTTAGAAAATGAAGAATTCTGTATTTAGCTCAGTGAAAGCTACAAGACAGCAAAGATTACTCAAGATTTTTATATCTTCTTTAGAGATGGTGTAGTTCTTTGGGCAGTACAATAAGAAAACTGAAGGATGGTTATCTCACAGTTGCACACTTTTAGGTGATTTTGATTATCTTTCCATTTTCTTATTTTAGCTTTTCAAAGCATAATTGGAAATAATTGATGGGTAATGATGAGTAAGTAGCAAAATACTTCAGGGCAAAGGAAAGGTAAGAACACCGAGATCCCACAATTATTCTTAGATCAGTAAAAGGGTCCAATAGACCCAAATTGTAATTGCAGCATAGATTTATTAATTTTTTAAATAGAATAAAATTCAATTTTCTTTTAGTTCTTCGGAAGACCTCTGAGAATAAAAGTCTCAAAGTATCAATCCTTAAAACTATTCAGAACTGCCCAAGAAAGAAACTCAAGAATTAAAATTGGGTCTAGTGGACCTTAATGGTATACTGAGAGTTAAAGAAAATGGGAGTCCTTTGCTTTGAAAGAAAATTTTTTTTTCCTTGGGTCATGTAATTTAGTTAACTGAAACGTTTTTTTATCTTTAAGGCATTAGGGGACCAGATACTGTTTGTAAACCGTCCTGATAAGAAGAAAATTCTTTTCTTCAATGATAAGAGCTGTCAGTTCTCTGTGGATGAAGGTGAGCCTTTCTGTATAGATGCTTTATTTAGTTTGCAGACATGATACAAATTTAGGATGACAGAATTTGTAATATTTGTAATACAATTATAACTTAAATTTTATGATAGTGCTTTTTTTGAGTATTATCTTAGAACAGAGTTTGTAACTCACATCTAAAATTGTTTCTCAGAATGCAATTTAAATATATAATTTGAAATATTTTATGTTAATTGTACTTGGAGTCATGGTATAGCAGTTCATGATTTCTTATGCTTACAGCCTAGCTGTACCAAACAGGAGTTTGTTTATTCCTTTTATTTTACAAATACTACTTCCTTTCTTGATATGAAAGCTTGATACAGGATGGAAAAAAGAATCAACTTTTTTGGAGACTGATATGCTCTTAAATAAGTTATGAATTTTTTGACTATCAAATTGGATAAGAAAGGAGATTAATTTTTTCTTTCTGGCAGTTGTAGAGTTGAATGCTAAGCTATATGTTGTCTTGTAAGTGTGACATCAGTATTTTGGATTTTACTTTAAAATATTTCAGTAATATTTTCATGTAAAATAGTAAGTAAGTGTTTGAGTCATGAGAAATTTCTATACAAATTCTCATTTAAGCAAATATGATCTTTTACTCTAAATTTGTATTAACTTTGAAGTTTTGTTACAAGAATTGATCATCATTTTAATTAAAAAATTTAAAAAGTAATACAAAGTCACAGCAAAATATTCTAACAATATATGAGGACATAGAGTACAATAGCAGTATTAGACTCCGAACAGTGAAACTACTGCTATGCCAGCCTGCTAGTCATACTGACTCTTTTTTATGGCATTAAATAAGAGGGATTCTTTTGAATGAATAATTTTGTATAAGAAATGCATTTACAAATCTTGTCCCTGTAGTAGCTCATACCTGTCTTGATTATGATTTGTAATTTGTACATAACCCTAAGTTTTTCTTTTATTTGTTTATCTGGTTGTAGATACTCAGGCTTGTGGTGCTTATAGTTCAGTCAGCTTGAAGTTACTTAGATGACTATGACTTGTAAGAAATAGAATGTTGTATTTTTGTGAAAATCCTCATCAAGAGTACTTTGTTATCTAGTTGATTCTCAATAAATGTTCATTAAATGAAAATTTGCAAAGTATTCTGGCTCTTCTATAATGCCATTTCTAATAAGTAAGCTTGCTGCATATAAACAAGATAGTAGTCAGCTTCTTCTGTGTGTTGTATTGATAGGTGCTCATTTCAGGAAGCTTTGGCTTAGCAATTTTTAGTATTCCTTGAGTCTCTTATGCTTGGAATTTTGCTGTGATGTAAACTTTTGTAATCGTCAAATTGATTTCTTCCTTTTAAAAACTCGTATGAATGGACTTGAACTTTAAAATCCTGAGTTTAAACAAAGAAACAACAGATTCTTTATTCTTAGGCATAGTTAATCCATTTGAAGAAAATTTTCACGGTATTAAAAACCTTATCAGAAGTATCACATGTCCAAATAGTGAGGAAGATCTTACAGTAAGAAAAGTAGATATGCTTTTCCTTTCTCTCGTTCCAGTCCCTTTCTTTTACGGCAAGTAGCCTACTTGGTTTTATTTTAGGTTCTTCTGATCGTTTTTCCCATCTTGCTAAATAACTTGCTTATACTGTTATTTCTTGATTTTTTAACTTGAAACATTGTCTAATGCTCATTCTTTGTCATCTCTCTGGTTCTAACACCTGTCTCTCTTTTCTACTTCCCAATATAGTGTATCACTAGTTTTAGTTTCTCTTGCATTTATCTTGGGCACCTTCAGCAAATGACAGGCTTTCTCAATGGCACATTTTAGTATTAAGCCTGCTCTCTTGATGGCAGCCTGGTGCAGCGTATCTTCTGGAAGTTGATGCTTACCTTGAGGCAGGTGTTTGAAAGTAAAGAGGTGGTAGAAGCTCTGTAACAGCAGCATGAAACTAGGATTTCTTGGTAGTGTTTCATTGGAGAAATTTTAGGAGCACAGTTTGATTTAGCCGTGACCGTCACACTGGTCCTGTACTAATAAGCATTGCTGTTTTCTGTCCCTTGTGTGTGCTTTCTGTGGATACTCTTGTTTTACCTTTTGCTCAGTCTTTTCCTATCTGTGTATCTTTTCCCTAGAGTTCTGTTCCTTAGTATTACCCCCATTTTCATTTGCCATTTTATATGGCCTTTATTGGCTTAACCTCTTCCCATCTCCTCATAACTTGG